TCGTTTGAGATTTCCTCGTCGTCCTGAGACTTGAACTTTGTAACAGTCTGACGGACGGAAGTTTGTTTTCAAAGTGTGATTCTCGCGCAAGTGCCAGGCGCTTTTTGCTTGTTTGTTTGTTTTTGCACCCGCCCTCGCCCGCTTCTTATGTTATATGTATATCTATATTTGTGTGTATATATATGTATATTTCTGCAACAGCTTCACGGATGGAGCACAGGGCGTTTTCAATCTGTGGCTCTCGCTTTAGCGCCGCGCGTATTCGTTTTTAACATGGAACAATTTCACAGATGGAGGACGGTTCCATTTCAAAGTGTGGCTTTCGAGGTAGTTCCGCACGCATTCGTCCTAAACGTTAGCAACAGCTTCACGGATGAAAGGGGGGGGCTTTCTTCAAAACGTTGTTTGCCCGAATACTGCGCACGTTCGTGTTACACATGTGCAGCAGTTTCGCAGATGGAGCACAGGTCGTTTCCAAATTGTGGCTCTCTCCTCAGGATCGCGCGCAGTTAGTTGAAACATGTGCAGCAGTTTCACGGATGGGGGTTGTTTCTAAATGGTGCTCTCGCCGTAGTTCCGTTCACATTCGTTTTAAACGATTCCAGCATCTGCATTTTTCGGAACGATGAGTTCGCTTCATGTCTATAAATGTAAACTTTTTTGCAGCAGTTGCGCAGATGGGGGGCGGTTGTTCTTCGAAAGGGGAATATCGCTTGACACCTTGATGACATGTATGATCGCTACCTTTTGAATCCTTCTTTAGGAGACAGTATGATTCAAATCGATTCCTTTTCACAGTGAGGACCTCGCCAAAATGGCAGGCCCAAGTTTTCTGGTCTTTCAGGGGATACGCTTCCTGGAGTGAGCGGAGGATTTGTAGGGGCGTAAAGGAAGGGGGCTTAGGACGGAAGGGTGTGTTGCCACATGGTTTATGCACTTTTGTCTTACGCTCCGCCTCCGCCTCCGCCTCCGCCTCCTCCTCCTCCTCCCTCCCTCCCTCCCTCCCTCCCTCCTCTCCCGTGCCTCCTCCCAAACCTCTCTCCTCCCTCCTGCCCCCCCCACCTCCTCCTCCCTCCTCCTCCCTCCTCCTCCCCCCTACCGCCTCCTCCTCCTCCTCCTCCTCCTCCTCGTTTTCTTCCTCCTGCTGCTGCTACTGGTGCTCCTCCTCCTCCTCCTCCTGCTCCTCCGGTTCCTCCCTCCTCCCTCTACTCATCCTTCACTCCTCCCCCCCCCTCCTCCTCCTCCTCTCCTCCCCTCCTCCTCCTCCTCCTCCTCCTCCCATCCTCCTCCTCCCTCCTCCTCTCCCTCCTCGTCTTTCCTCCATCTTCTCCGTTTCCTCCTCCTCCTCCTCCTTCTCCTCGTCCTCCTCCTCTTCTCCTCGTCTTCCTTCCTCCAATCTCTCCAGCTCCTCCTCCTCCTCTCCTCGCCTCTCCTCCTCCTCCTCTTCTCCCGTCCTCCTCCTCCTCCTCCTCCTCCTCCTCCCCTCCTCCTCCCTCCTCCTTTCCTCCTCCTCCCCCTCTCCTCTCCCTCCCCCTCCCCCTGCTCCTCCTCCTCCTCCACCTCCTCCTCCTCCTCCTCCTCCTCCTCCTCCCACTGCTCTCCGATTTTCTCGTTTTGTCGTCGCTAGGGCATCGGCCATGCGTCGGGGATCTTCCGACCCCATCTGCTCTGAGAGGTGTTCAGAGGTCCCCAGACGTCTCGGGAGGTCCCCAGAGGCTCCCGGAGCTCTCCAGAGATCCTTCGAGGTGTCTGAAAGCCTTCTGAGGCTTCTGGAGGCCCCTAAGTGATCAGAAGCTTCGCAACTCTTTGAAGGCCGCCACATCTGGGCGGCCCCCTGATGCGCCGTGCCCGCCAGGGTGCTGAGGGACCTGTACAGGAGGGCCGCCGCGGGCACGAAGGCACAGGCGTGCGCGCGCGCGGGGGGTGCCCTCCGCGGGTGAGCATGCAAGTTGGGATGCCCCTCGGCTCCTGCTGCGTGCTGTTCTGGTCGCAGTTTCCATTCTCCCATCCTCCCTCCTCCTTCCTCCTCTCCCTCTTCCACTCCTCTCCTCCTTCTTCCTCTCCGGGGCCATATGCAGAGATACCCAGACTGCTTCAGCTTGAAGACTTTCAGGGAACAGGGGCTCGACTGGATCCACTCTGAGCGGAAGGCCTGTGTCCTCCCCGCCCCCCAGCCATCTAAAACATTTCTTCGGTCTGCGAGGGGCAGGATCATCCGCTGGGATCAGAACGGATGGGCCGCCCGTTTTTTCGCCCACGGGATCATGATATCCTAGGTTTGAAACGGTTTTGGCTAGTGGACATAGTTTATCTGGTGGGAACGGATGGCCTCATAGAGTCTGTCGCTTTGTGCTCATTTTGGGGTCCACGGAACCGATTTGGGAAGTGTTTCATCCTCCTCTGCCTCCTCCCCGTCATCACCATCATCATCATCGCCATCATCATCATCATCATCATCATCATCATCATCATCATCATCATCATCATCATCATCATCATCACCAACATCACCAAGATCATCTCCATCCTCATCACCATCATCATCACCAGCATCTGCTTCAGCATCATCATCATCAGCATCATCATCATCGTCATCGTCTTCATCACCATCGTCATCATCATAACTATCATCCCCATCCGCATCCTCATCCTCATCCTCATCCTCATCCTCATCTCTATCCGCCTCATCATCACCATCATCATCGTACTCGTCACATTCATCACCACCACCATCACCATCATCATCACCATCATCCCCAGCATCATCATGATGATCATCATCATCATCACCACCACCACCCGCATCATTTCTTGATGCGTATCAGCATCATCATCACCGCCACCACCATCATTATCATCATCATCATCATCATCATCATCATCATCATCATCATCATTATCGTCATCATCATCGTCGTCGTCGCCGCCGTCATCGTCATCATTATCATCATCATCATCATCATCATCATCATCATCATCATCATCATCATCATCATCATCATCATCATCATCATCATCATCATCATTATCGTCATCATCATCAGCATCATCATCAGCATCAGCATCAGCATCAGCATCAGCATCAGCATCAGCATGATCATCATCATCATCACCATCATCATCAGCATCATCATCATCATCATCATCATCATCATCATCATCATCATCATCATCATTATCATCTTCATCATATCCATCATCACGTGGCACGTCGCCTTCTGGCCGCTTGGGGTCGGTGCTTGCCCCGCCAGGCGCTGCGTGCTGGCTGCAGAGACTCGTCGTCGTGGACGGCGAGGACGGCGGGGCCACGCGAGACTGCGGCGAGCAGCTCGGCAGGCTCGCCGCGCATGCTTTGGCGTGCTCGCGAAGCGCCATCGGCCTGCGGACGCACACGGCGTTGTGTGCGGCCTCGAGGACGAGCCGGGGGCTGCCGGCGCCGTCGTCGACGTCCAGCGCCGGGTGCCGGAGCTCCACGGCGCGCACGCGGACGGGTTGATCTGGGAGGCCGTCATGGACCTCGTGGTCGGCTTCCTCGCGACCGCGCAGAAGTGGCGGTTCGTGCGGAAGGAGGGCGATGGTGAGATATTTCTCGCCGCAGCCTGGCCCGCAAGCGTGGGTGGTCAGGCGCGCGTGGTGGTGGACCGCTGGTAATGGTGCCTACCGCCGCTCCTTTGATTCTATAGCTAGACCCCCTCTCCCCCGTTTTTTTTTGGTGGCGCGGGGAGGGGGGCGACGTCGCAGACGGTGCGCGTCTGCTGACGCTTTCTCGCTGCCATTACGGTTCTACGGACTGATCCTGCTACCGCGGCGGGCTGCTACTGGGCGGCGCCCGGTCGTTGCTTACACATGAATTCACGCATGTTCCACTTGCGGTGGTCTCGGAGGCCCCGCCGTCGCCTTGGCCGTTACGACATATTTGTTGTTTCCAACCAGCCTGTGGTGTTGGGTCCTCGTTTTGAAGAGACAGCGCCGCGCGTCTCCTCCTTCCGCTGCCCCCCCTCCTTCTTCTTCGTCCTTGCTTTTGCTCTCCGCCTGTTTCTGTTTCGGGACACTCCTCACACGTTTCGTGGTCCCATAGGGAGCTCCGCCTAAGTTCCCAGTGGCGGAACTCGCATGGCGGCCTCGCCCCATTTTGGCACACCCCTCACACGTTTCGTGGCCCCATAGGGAGCTCCACCTAAGGTCCCAGTGGCGGAACTCGCATGATGGCCTCGCCCCACTTTTGCACACCCCTCACAGATTTCGGACAGACCTGCTGGGCGCGAGAAGTCCGCAGCCAGACCTTCTCTCGGTCCCGTGGACTCTTGCCCTGGGCCGTCGGCTGTCCGGCGCGCTGCTCCCTCGGCCGACATCGCCCAGGCGTGATCTTGGACTGCGGCCGCCATGAGGTCGGGAACGGCCAGAAGGAGGACGACGACTGGTGGCTGGAGTCCTACGTGCTGCTCTCGCGCGCCACGCGCCTCGCTTGCCCCCGTCGTCGCTCTGCCCAGCGGCCGCAGCCTTGCCCGCTATCAGCCAGCCAGCTAGCTTTCTCTGCTCCGCGCAGCGGACGACCCGTGCGCGTCGCCGAGGCCCTTTCGGAGCGACCGGCGTGCGTCGCGGGGACTCCGCGCGGCGCCGCGCCCGCGGCCATGGACGTCGGCGTGCGCGAGCAAATAGGCAGAAAAAAAAGGGAAAGAAACGGGCTCGATCCTCGTGAGGAGCGTGCCGGCACGCACGTAGACTGATTCGTACGCAGACTCATTCACAATCAGACTCACTCGCGTTCAGGCTCACCCGTTCCCAGTCTCCTGCACTCAGACGGACCGTCTTTGTTCGTATTGTGGACCCCGCCGCGCATTTCGGCGCGCCCCCTCGCGCGGATCGTGGCCTCATAGGGAGCGCGAGCGAAGACGGTAGTCACAATTGCGGTATTCACAACTGCATCTGGTTTGGTCTTTCGCCAGGTTATTTTTTCCATGACCGGTCTGCTGCCAGGAAAAAATATCCCCCTGGTGCCAGCACGGCCGTGCAATGTCCCATGAGTCGATTGATCGTGAAAGTGACCCTTCGCCGGAGTGACTTTGGTCCCCCAAGCAGTGGCTTGTGCGCTTGGATCTGCCCCCTGTCCGCTTTCCCTTAAAGCCGCACACTGAAGGTCACTCGGCTTTCAGTACTAGGGTCAATTTTGCGTGCAGCCGAATGAGAGGTTGACAACGACACCACCAACAGCGACTACCATACCTTTTGCCACGGCCGTGAACACCAGCGGACTACTGCAATCAACGCCGACGACCTGAGTGCGAAGGCTACGCAGGAGCCTGCCAGGCCCGAGGGTGGTGGTTCGGAGTTTTCGGAAGACGGTAATGAGGACGATGGTGATGATGCTGCTGATGATGATGACGACGACGATGACGCTGATCAGGATGATAATGATGCTGGTGATGATGGTGGTGGTGTTGCTAATGATGATTCTGATGGTGATGATGAGACAAATGATGGTGCCGATAGTGGTGTTGATGATAAGGTTGATGGTAATGCTGATGATGCTGATACGGATGATGCTAGTAATGATGATGACGATGGTGGTGCAGATGCCGCTGCTTCTGATAATGGCGCTGATGATGCTGCTGCTGATGAGTCTGTTGAGGATGAAGATGACGATGGTGACGATGATGATGATGATGCTATTCATTATGCTTGGTGCTGTTGATGATGATGCTGATGATGATGAGGCTTACGATGCTGCTGCTGATGATGATCATGGCGTCCACGACGAGAGTGGATGTGCTGTTGATGATAACGATGATGGCGATGCTTGTCGTTGTGATGCTGCAGCTGATGATGGTGATGCTGATAATGATGATGCTGATGATGATAATGTTGAGGAGGAGGACGAGGATGATGATGCTGCTTATGATGGTTCTGATGATGATGCTCCTGATGATGCTGATGCTGCTGATGATGATGATGATGTTGGTTGTGGTGACGGGGTGGTGGTGGTGCTGGTGGTGGTGGTGGTGATGATGATGATGAGCAGCTGGATGATGATGATGATGATGATGATGCTGACGGCGATGCTGATGATGATAATGATGATGATGATGATGATGATGATGATGATGATACTGATGATGATAATGATGATGATAAGGATGATAACAAGGATGATGCTGCTGATGATGATGCTGATGATGCTGCTTATGATGATGCTGATGATGATGATGATATCGATGATGATGATGATGATGATGATGATGATGATGATCATGATGATCATGATGATGATGATGATGATGATGATGATGATACTGCTGCTGATGATGATGATGCTATCGATGATGATGATGATGATGATGATGATGATGATGATGATGATGGTGGTATTGATGATGCTGATGATGATGATGATGATGCTGATGTTGATGATGATGATGATGATCATGATGATGACGATGACGATGACGATGATGATGATGATGATGATATGATGATGATGATGATGATGATGATGATGATGATGATGATGATGATGATTATGATGATGATGATGATGACGATGATGACGCAGATGATGCTGATGATGATGATGATGATGATGATGATGATGATGATGATGATGAGTGTGGTTCTGATGAGGAGGAAGATGACGACGACGATCATGCTGCTGCTGAGCATGGTAATGATGAAGAAGTGGTAGTGAGATGTAGAAGAGGCAGGATGACGCAACTGAAAAGGAGGATTATGAGGAGGACTGGTGATGCGACTGGCAGAAGCAGGATGGTGACCAGGAGGAGGCGGAGGATGATGAATTGAAGGAGAAGGAGGAGGACGAACAGGAGGAGGAGGAGAAGGAGGAGGAATAGGAGGAGGAGGAGGAGGAGGAGGAGGAGGAGGAGGAGGAGGAGGAGGAGGAGTAGGAGGAGGAGGGTACGTGGGCTCGAGACCTGAGGCGCGCGCTATACAGACTCGTCACGTTTTGCTTATCCCCACCAGCCCGTCCAGAAGCGATACCCAGGTGATTCGTCTGGAGAAGGGAAGTAGAGATGGTGAACCAGAGATGCCCGCAGTGGTGAATCTAGAACCCTCTCGGGCGCTCTTGGAGCCATCTTGGGACTCCTTGGGTCATTTTTGGGAGCCTTGGGATGTCCTCTTAGGGCACCCCTTGGGCCCTTTAGATGCCATCTTAGAGGATTTCCGTTCAACCCACGAGGCGGCTCTGATTAGCCCCGCCCCGCCGGAAACCGACGAATAGTCTCTTGCGGCGCTCTTGGGGGCCATATTGGAGCCCTTCTGGGCCCCTCTTGGAGCTACCTTGGGCCAAGACCGCCGCAACACGCACCATTTGAAGTACCCTCAGGCAAGCGTGCGTTCGCACGTGGACGAAGTTTCACACACGCAGGCCTTGAGACGCCTCGAGCCTACCTTGGGAAGAAGAATGGCGATGTTCTGGCCATTTGGAGGCTTCAGGGGCCAGCTGATGCGATGAAACAAAATCCTTTTGAAGCAGAGGTGCGGCAATGATTTGGCTTCTCGGGAGCATCTTTGGGAGGCTCCGTGGCCACGTCGAGCCGTCTTGTGACGGTTTTGTAGCCTCCAGCACTGATACTGAAGGCTACCGTGAGCCATCTTGGGCTATATTGCCCCATCCTGGAGGCAATCTTAGGCTATCTAGGGTCGTCTTGGAGCCACCTAGGACTAAACGGGATCCTCTGACACCTCCCCGCCGTCCAACCCCCAAGGTAGGCGATGGGGGCAGAGGTGAACCCCTCCCCGAAGGAGAGTCTGGGGGCGTAGCCTTCGAGAAGTCCGCCTTCCGCCTTCTTGTGCAATCTGTTGTCCAACGGCTGGGGCACCACCCGTCCATGCAAGACTTAAGCGTCGCAGGTCAGCTCGTGTTCTCCGCGCTGCTCATTGCCCCCCCTTCCGGCTGCCTTTGTCCCGTTCGAGTCTAAACACCAGCGGAGTCTTCTCCAGCTTTACGTGCGCCACGTTTCCACCGTGACCGACTGCGACGATCTCATGCCGGAGAAGCTCAACCTCGTGAAATCTTGGTAGGATTCCGAGGAGCTGGCACCGCACTTCCCCAATGGGACGCTGCAGTAGCAGGGGATATTGCAGCTGACCTCGAAGACCAGGATCAAACAGTGCCTTGCGATATTCATGCTTCCATTAAGGCCTTCAGCGTCGAGGGGCAAAGCAAACCCCATGTGTCTATTCAGCCCTTCTGCGTCGATGTGCACCTCGAGACATTTTGGTCGCTGCTGTCAGTACCTCGTCGGCTCTGGCGATTCTGGAGTGGGTTCTTCGCTCCGTGGACGGAACTTCCCGTTCATATTTTCTTCGGCAATGTTGCGCCTCCTTGCTCTTCTTCCTGACCCTCCTGGGTCAGCTGTTGCAGCGTGGAGCTCCCTCCCCATCAACTGGGAAGCTGGCGCTTTTCATGCCGAGTTGCCCTGATGGGGTAGTAGTGCTGCTAAGCATGCGGCATCGCTCTGGCGTGTGCCTTTTCTCGGCGAGGCCAGCACCAGATATTCTGGAACATCCTGGAGCATCCAAGGGAATCTCGGACCATCTCGAGAGAAAAACACGCACGAAACAGAACAGTGCACGGGGATTGGACGTCCGAGCGATAGCAAGGAGCAGAAACAAGTAAACCGTCGGGCTCCTTCTGCCCTGTCCGCGTACATTTTCGGTCAGCGGCAACAGGAAAGCCAGGTGGAGGTCGAGAATGCGTTGGGACGCAGGCAAACTAGCGGAGGCACAAGGCAGGAGTGCGCAGCGGAGGGAGGGGCGCGAGAAGGAGGAGGAGGATGAGGAGGAAGAGGAGGAGGAGGAGGAGGAGGAGGAGGAGGAGGAGGAGGAGGAGGAGGAGAGGAGGAGGAGGAGTAGGGAGGAGGAAGAAGGAGGAGAGGAAGGAGGGAAGAAGGAGGAGGGACGAGGAGAGGAGTGAGAGAGGAGGAGGAGGCGGAGAGGAGGAGAGGATAAGCCCTGCAGGGGGGGGGGGGGGCCCCACGCTCAGACCAGGTAGGCCTTCGCCCCGCTCGGGTGCACAAACAGTGTGACCGCATCCGGCTCCGCGTGCGCAGCCACCTTCACCAGTGGTGGCGGCGACGTGCTTGCGCACGCCCGAGCGGCCGCCCGTCGGAGAGGGCGCGGCTTTTTCGAGGGCCCGGCGGCTTCGATCTCTCGCGCAAGGTGCTGCCGCAGCAGGGTGCGCCCATGTCCTGCGAGTGATCCGGAGAGGCCCTGCTCGCACAGCGCACGGGGGTGGCCGCGGAGATCGCAGAGCAGCCGGGCCCCCGAGGCACCTCGGAGTCGGGGGCCAGCTGGAGCTCTGCGCGCCGCTCGCTCGTGTCCCGTCGGCTCGTCCCCCCCCTGGGCTACGACGTGCTCGGGCCCAGGGGAGGGCGGCGCGACATCCAGCTCTGCGTGCGGCGCGTCTTTGCGCGGGCGGAGAGCGGCGGGCGAGGTTCTGCCACTGAGCATCTCCCGCGAGCCGCCGCAGCAGAGCAAGCTCTTGCCTGTTCGAAGAGGGAGTCTGGAGATACTCGCGGAGGTCGCCCAGGAGCAACAGTGCGGTAACTGAACGTGCGTGCGTCGATCTCGGAGCCAGCTCAGTAGAGTAGCCCCCCTCACTTCTCCTTCTTGTCCTCCGCGGGCGGGCCTCTCCTCATTCTCCTCCACGTTGTTCCTCCTCGGGTGCCGGGGCAGGCGCTACATCGTCTTGTGCATTATGCTAATTTTGACTCGTCGGGGTGGGGGCCGGCATTGCGCAGCACTGCGCTTTGGTCCAACCCCCCCGTAGAGGTCGAGGCCGACTCCGCCTTCTGATTCGAGGCTTTTGCTCTCTCCGTTCCGATCCCTTCTCCCCCGCGGCTGCAGCGGCTGCTAGTCCTGCTGCTGCTGCTGCTGCCGCGCCTCTCATGGCTTCTCTTTTCTTGCAGCCCTGCAACAAGCGAGAGGGTGTCTCCTTTAGCTGCGCATTGGTCCAGGCATTGTGCAGTATACTGGGGAAGAGTCACTAGCGTGATCACAAAGATATTTTTAGAGCGATTCATTCTGGATCTCGTCCGCCTTCCATCGGGCAGTGGTAGTCGTAGTCGTACTGGTAGTGGTCGTATTCGCAGAAGGAACGTAAGCAGTAGCAGTAACAGCAGTAGTAGTAGAAGTAGCAGTAGCAGTAGTAGTAGTAGTAGTAGTAGTAGTAGTAGTAGTAGTAGTAGTAGTAGTAGTAGTAGTAGTGT